GTTTCATTTGGAACATTTTATTTTAAATTTGAACTGAAAACCAACATGAGTTTTGCTGATTCAGAAACTCTGCTGTGATCAAATCTTTTTTAGGATGAAAAAGAAACTCACAGATGATCAACAGGGCGATGATACCTGCTGTCAGGAGGACACAAAGTGTCCCCAAACACACCAACAGCACACGAGTCGGACCTTCAGCTGCTGCTTCAGCTTCTGTTCAGAAAATAACATTTAATACTTACAGGAAAATGTTTGTGTTCTTGTATTTATCACCCACTTTCCATGATGTTCATTGATAATGTAGGTGTTCAGTTTTCTGACTGTTAGCAAAATATCTCATGAACTATTGGACACATTTGGACACAACTCAGAAACTAATCACTGAATGTACGGTTTGAGACGACCTGATTCAAGATGGCCGCCACAGCTAACTGACTCAAGCCTTTAGTTTTACAGATACTGAGCTAACATTTGGTGTGGTAGTAGCAGAGAGTCATCAGCAACACACACTCTGAGCACTAACAGATCCTGTAAGGCAGCAGGTGACTCATTCAGAGAACACTGGTTTCATTTCATTAAATAAAAAAATATTAATTTCCTTTGAAACACTCCACTCATATAACTTAAATAAAAGTTTAGTTTCTTTTCAACAGAAGATTTGAAGTTAAAACAACCTGAGAGGATTTTTACAGAGTGGAAACAGAACAAATGTTAAAAGAATCTCAGTTTAGTTTAGTTTTACAGTAAATCGTTAAAACTCACTCGAGGCTCTGGTTCCAGACTCTGTTTTGWTTGCAGAGAAGATTTTCTGCTCTTCTTCTCTGTCTGTTTGATTTGAACAGAAAGAATCGACTCAGAATAATCCTTCACCAGGTCACGTCTAACCCTGATATTTCATTTAAAGAAAGGAGCTGTTTGTTCTGCTGATGGGAAAGTTTGTTGTTTTRAGATAAAAATCTTACTTTGACCAGCAGCTGCAGGCTCCACTGGAGTTTCTACAGAATTAGTCGCCAACTCCTTTTTTTCCTTTAATATAGAAAACGGTGTGCAAAACATTTACAAGTATAAAAGTGTAAGTGATAAAAATGTTGTCTGCTCCAGACTGTGCAGTCTGGGCTGATACCTCAGATCCCTGTAAAACTGGCTGCAAGCAGCTCAAATTCTTTTGATTATAAAATAAGATGTTTTTTATATACAGTATATCACATATTGTTAAACAGCTGCCTGCTTTTTTAATTGTACAGCAGAATCATAAATCATTCATCAGGTCCTCCTGTGCCTTGTCAAAAATAACAAACTCCTTATTTAATAATTTGTGCTGTTTTATTAAAGGGGCAATATCATGTAAAATCAATTTTTTGAGTTTTATATCATGTTATAATGTTATATTCTCATAAAAAACATGTCCAAAGCCTTGCTTTGACTTATTCATGCATGTTTGAGAAATCCTGCAGTGTTTTTAGGAAGCCATGCTGAGGAGCAAAATGAAGTAAAGACATTAACTTAGGTTGGGGAGCAGGACCACGCCTCTCACCTGCAGCAATCAGTCGTCGTCTATTTAAACTCACCTCACCTGGTGTCTGCCCTTAGCTCGCTGTCTCGACACCCACCCTCCCCTTTCACCCCACTTAATCCCCTCTGTAAGGCCTCATAGCGTCACCTTCTTCTCTCCCTTCATCCCTTCCTCATCCCTTCGTCCCTTCACCCTTCCCTCATCCCTTCCTCCCTTCATCCCTCCCTCATCACTTCATCCCTCCCTCGACCCTTCATCTCTCCCTCATCCCTTCATCCCTCCCTCATCCCTTCCTCCCTTCATCCCTCCCTCATCACTTCATCCCTCCCTCGACCCTTCATCTCTCCCTCATCCCTTCATCCCTCCCTCATCCCTTCCTCCCTTCATCCCTCCCTCATCACT